CCCTTCCGCCCACGTCAGTCCCCGATGTGCGGCAGTGTGCTCTTTCCCGAGCTTCCTGCTGCTCGGCCGCGCAGGCCGCACCTGGCGCGGCGGCCAAGACCTGCGCCGAGCCGCAGCCTTCTCCACCTCCTCAGCCCGGGGCCACCGGACGGGCGTCACGGCGTCTGCTAGGGGCCGCAGCCGTCTAGACAGGGATTAGCGTCGCAGGCGGTGTCTGGCGGCCACAATGGCCTGTGGTCGTCGGTTGTCCGGCGCACCGGTGGCGCTCCTCCATCAGGCTGTCAGGCGACAGACGGCGCGGCGGGCCCCGACCCCTGGCCGGCACCGCCGCGTGCCAGCACGCCTCCACACTGCCGTACCCGCGTCGCCGCCTCCGCCGCCGCCGTCCATCGGCGCCATTCTCGAAGTGATCGTCGGTAGTTTTTACTGATGGATCGAGTGATGTTTTTGCTGTACCGTATTCTTGTCATATTTATTGGTGCCGTCTGGACGCCTGCGAAGGGCTGGTGGGGTTGTTTGTAACGCTTGTTGAAGCCAAGCAGTGTTCGATGTAGCCAGGCGGTAGATACGTCAACCAGACCTCCAGGTCTGTTTCCTATTTTTGTATCACGCGAAAAACCGTAAACGCACAAAAATAAATGAATTGTGTTGGCAAATGAGCTAGGGAACACTAGCGCAAAGCCTTGGTAAACAACAGAGGAAGGTCAGACATTCTGCGGCACAGAAATTCGGCGCGACAGCGTGATACTCCCAGCTAATTCCTCCACTCTGAATTTTGCGCAACAATCCTGATAGAATTGTATGCTACACCCGCATAGGGGCCCGCATAGGGCGCAGGGGCGCATAGGGGCCTCTCTGACATCATCACCTGCAAACATTTCGAACTCTGAAAAACGGCAGGAACTACCAAGGATAGAGATTGCTTAAGATGATATAAGTATTAGCTGTTAATGATAGCAATCATACTGAGATATCATCATGCCTTTCAAGAATGATGAACAGTAATTACTGATGCTTCTAAAAGCTCCCATTGTTAATAACAATATTTGCTTCTTCGGAACGGTTGGCCACAGACAAACGCACACACCTTAACAGCCGGAACACGACTGGCGCTGTTTGACTAATTACACATAACTGCTGTTAGGTCACAGTGGCATGAATACGGCAGTTTGCAGTCTTGCGGAGTGTTTGCGTCGAGAAGTTGGTACTACAAGTGGAAAGTTATTCGGACTCCAAACCCCACCCTCACCAATGGCGGTAACTTGTAGCGGACTGGACCTCAGTCCCCGATCCTCGTCTCGGGTCCTCGCTCAGAGAATCAGACAGTTGTGCACGCCCTGGTGGTGTGGTGCTGAGGGTGTCTGCGTACCAAACGCAACATTGTATATTGTAAGCTTGGAAGTGCCAGAAACCCGTCGGTTGCGGGATGTATGCCTGGTTAGCCATCCGTGGACGATACGTCGGTGGACTCGAGGCCGACTAACATTTGACGGTGGCAGGAGAAGTTATTAGAGGGAGCGCTGTGTGCGGGTTAACACAGTTATCAAGGGAGAACCCCCGAATATCATTTAGTCTGCTAGCGTGCTGATTTCAAGGGACTGATGACAGCAAGCCGTAGATAAATGAGCAGAAGGGCGCTATGTACGTGCAGGCGTGGGTGCTCCCCTGATGGCGTTTACGGTCACTGATCGCAGGCAATTGTATCAGGATTAGCATATTGAAAACCATCCACGTGATAGCCATTTCGGTTTCAGATCACGGTCATGCTTCCACTTACAAGTGCATATAAAAAGGCACAGTTCAAGTATACAACAAAATGATAGGGGCAATGGTTCAAGGGAATTGCTCCATGTACGTGGCACAAACTGTCACGTTGTCCGTAAAAAACCTCAGCCAGCGGACATTTCGTGGAACCGGACAGTCTCGCGGACCCAGGTCTACGCTGCACCGGCATGATGTCACCCGATGGCTGTCTTTCACAAGCATCCGGCGGCTCCTTGTCCTTTTACGAACAAAGCCGGAGCGTGTGCATTCGGAACGTCCGTCTTTTGCTATCATTCGTAGTTCTATCGAGAATAAATCAAACGCTCAGTCCGGATTGACCTCCTTAGGCAAGAGACCTTCAATTCCACGCTATTTTCCGGAAAATACTGGTTCAAGAGTAATAAATGTTCCCAAGATACCTTTTCAACACAAAAATACACTGACGTCAAACCGCAAGTATGTTTCCCTACCTTTAAAAAGATGCCGTCCATGTATGTTAGCAATAAGTTCACGCCCAATTAAGCTGTTTTACCACTAACTCACGAGACAAACAACCTGAGTCCTCCAGAGATGGTATCGCGCGCCGACAGTATATGGTTCGCGCTGGCGCCGATGGTGTGTTTTGGGGACGATGATGCAACCTCCGGCCAGTGATTAATCTGTAATCTGGAATGTCTAGGCGGTGGCGATACCCGGCTACCGCTTGAGTGGAAATGTTGGCACTATCGGCTTAGGACATGTTAACAGCTACATTGCACTCCATGTAAGCTTGACGTTCGTATCCTTCTGATGACTTGTCTGCTCATAAACTGAGCATCATGAGGCAAAGTATAATAACACTAAGACCAAACTTCGGCGACCATGTACCTTGACGTCCCATCCGAAATACTTGGCGAGGGCCAGCAGATACCGCCTTTCGGCGCTCGACCCAAAATGCGTTGCACGATAGGTCAGCTCGGAGCATGGATCGGCTGCCATTGCATGTGCCGGGAGCCGTCCTGAGATACAGGAAATTAGAGCATAGACCGGCTGCCATTGCATGTGCCGGAAGTCGTCCTGAGATACAGGAAATTAGAGCATGGACCGGCTGACATTGCATGTGCCGGGAGCCGTCCTGAGACACAGGAAATAAGAGCACGGACCGGCTGCCACTGCATGTGCCGGGAGTCGTCCTGAGATACAGGAGGTCAGAACACGGATCGGCTGCCATTGCATGTGCCGGGAGTCGTCTTGAGATACAGGAAATCAGAACACGGATCGGCTGCCATTGCATGTGCCGGGAGTTGTCCTGAGATGCAGGAAATTCGAACACGGATCGGCTGCCACTGCATGTGCCGGGGGATGTCCTGAGATGCGGCAGCGAGAAATGAGACCTCCGCTGCCAGCATCAAACAGCCCAGCTGTGCGCGTGGCCTCGGACGTCGATCGGACGCTGACAAAATAGTGTCACCTACCTGAAAAAATATTGTACATGGGTTTTTGTTGACATCTGTGCTATACTAATAGACAATACTTTTGTCAGCAAAACGCTTCGTGGCATGTTTAAAATGCCGTACTGCTGTCAAGCTATGATATATATGCACTTTGAGTTCAAAAATTATTTCACGCACTTTGGCAGCTTGACAATGTTGCGCCAGTGCCGTGTCGAAACCGCATGCCACATTCATGTGCTTCATCAGCTGACATTTGGTGCATCATATATGTGTGGTTATGACACATTTAACGTTTTGACACCATACGGAAATTGGCATTAAGTGTTCTGTAACATTAATTCCCCGGTGTGCGTGATTCATATATAGATAGGGCTTAACACCCGTGATATTGCGGTTCAGGTCAGCATTGAGTCAAACTAGGGATGGGGAAGCTCACCTGAACATTGTGTTTTGAATGGAAATGCTTGGAACCATTCATTTTGCGGGTGAAATTGGAGGGGGCAAAATCCCGTTGTGGGATTGGAGCGAATTTCGCCTCTTGGCTTTGTTACCCCCCTCCCGGTGGCTAAGCCTATGCGTGTTGGAGAATAGCGTAGCCAGGGCTGGCTAAGAAGATATCGCCGTAGGTTTCGAGCGACATCTGTGTTTTTAATGTCAGCACGATCGGTGTCTGTCGCACGCCTATCCGCTACGCAAAGGAAACCTTTCACTGTATCGACTTAATATGAAGAGTGTGCGGGGTTCTCTGGTGGGCGCATAGTGGGTGCGGAACATGAAGCGAGTGCAAAGAACCTAGGGTCTTTTGCCGGTGAAAACATGCCTAACGCAGACACCTTCCGGGGCCGATAGATAAAAATCACATCCAAACTTCGGACGTGAATGGCGCGTGTTGAGCCAGATAAAGTTTATTACATTGCTCATCGGTAAGTTGACAGGATCGTTCGACTGGATCCTGACGGATCATCTTGGTCTCACTGGAGCTTGCGACGATTGAATCCGGACCTCGAATCCTTGAATTTGGTTTGGAATCCAGACTCACGTATGTTTGACGTTGGAAAGTCCAGCGTTCCGAGTGACTGCGAGCACAGAAGCTCGCGACTCGTCACTTAAATTGTGCACGCGTTAGCTGCGAAGCGAGGCAATGTAGTCCTAACGTCTGGCTGGCCTGTCGTGCCTCGCCTCGCCTCGCAGCTTCACTCCAGCCACGGCCCAAGAGCGGGACTCCCCTGGCCCTGACCGCGGTCGGGAACCTCGGGCGCCGCCGCGCAGCCGCCTCCAGCTGGCGGCGTCCGGCGGCGCGGCCGAATCGCGGCCCGCTTCGGAGAACAGCTCGCTGGCCGGCGGCAACGGCGGCGGCGGCGGCGGCGGCGGCCGTGGTGGCGAGGTCGACACGGCCGGGCCCCCGTCTGAGCCCCGGCAGGGGCGGGGGCGAAGGGTAGATCCGGTCCGCGTGCACGCACAGCACCCGCGCAGTACGGCAACTGCTGCAGCCCGGCAGTGGCGGCGGCGGCGGCGGCGGCGGCGGCGGCGGCGCGCTCCAGCAGCGAGGCCACCGCCAGACAGAGCCCGCCTCCGTCTAGACGGCCCTTTTGCAACGATTGACGTCACTAGATCCGGTCGGCGGGCAATACCTGTCTGCGGTTATGGACAATTTTAAGAGACGGTTCGATCTCACCGGTCACATAACGGTTGTGCGGAATACGCTTGTTATGGGATTCCGCTCCCGGTACGCAAAATGGCTGCGTTCATTCTCGCAGGATCGACAGCAGCGGGCTAAGATCATAACTGTGACCCACGGTGCCCTTATGAAGTTGAGAGCATAATTTAACGTGTAGATTACCTCGGCGTGTAGCAGGTGTGTCCAACTGCACGAGTGAACCAGCATTACCAGGTGCAAGAACAACCTGACAAAAGAATAGGCGACGGCAGTTGGCAACAGCCATAGGCAATATGAGAAAAGGCAACAGCAAAGAAGATAATGTGACTAGCTAGAACACTACCAACATGGCTAGGACTGCAGCACCACCGACAGGGCTAATACAACGCAGGTCGATATGTTTCAGTTCATGCAACTGTTACGGCTAAGGAACCAGTGCCACTACGGGGCGTCATTTCTCACGAGTAAAGTAGAGCAAATCAACAGTTAACACCAGCAGAACAAAATGAATGCCGGCCGGGCCGGCCCACGCCGCCGTAGTCGCCGGCACGTCTGTTTGTTGGGCCCGCGGTACGCACAGCGCGCAGGCGGCGTGAGCTGAACTCCAGCGCTTTTATGCACTCGGCTGAGGTTCGTCAGGGGTGTAGGACGAGCCTGTGAGGGGTTGGTGTGGCGGCCTTAATGAGCATTTGGCGTTTGGAGTGCAGCGGATTTGTCAGATCAGACCGATTTGGTAGACCGATAACTGTGAATGCCAGGGACCGATGCATTTCACAACTGATCGATATCCACCTAAGCATTTTCACACCCTTTCGTCTACAATTTACGCTCCCAGTCCTCACGCCTGGCTATTTAAGCTCCTGCCCTGCACGAGACTCCAGCAGTGAGGCTATATTTCATGTTCTTCTGTTTCAGGAGGGAGCAAGCGCAGAAGCGGTTGCGGGTGATCCAGGTGCAGATCCTGCACATGCTGAACCTACCGTGCGTGCCGCGGCCCCCGACATCGACGAACGCCACCGACTACGCGCGCGCCTTGTACAACCGGATGAAGATGATGCAGAACCAGACGGGACTGGCTCGTGATGACCTATTGAGACGCTCGCAGAGCTTCTACCCCTCCTGTGAGTGGCGGGAACAGAAGTTCTATGTCTCCTGTAAGTGGTGCATGCGGTGTCTCTACCTTTACGGTTAGAAGTGGAGAAGAACTGATGTCTTTGCTATGAGCAGCTCTTGTCCTTCCTGGGAGTAACGGAAACAAAGGCCCTACCCCTTCTGTGAACAGTGGGCACAGAGTTTTACCCCTTCAGTGAGTAGTAAAAGAGAAGCTTCTACCCCCTCTGTGAGAAGAGGAAGCATGGATACTATATCGTCTGCAAGTAGTGGGAACAACGCTTCCTCACTCTCTGCGAGTAGTGGCGGGGGTGATCCTGCCCCTTCCACGAATTCCGGAAGCGAAGCCTTATCACTGCTGGTAGTAAGAATGGTAGGAGCAGAACTTCTTATTCTCCTACGAGAAGCGGAAACCCTTTTACATACTCTGTGAGTACTTGGGCTGAACTTCTGCTTATACGGCGAGCTGCGCGGGCAGAGCTTCTGCTCAGCTCGTGATTAGTTACCTCTACTGTAGTAGTTGGGGCAGACACTCCACCCCACCTGTGAGTAGTTGGAGCAGAGCTTCTGCTCAGCTCGTGATTAGTTACCTCTACTGTAGTAGTTAGGGCAAACTCTCTACCCCACCTGTGAGTAGTTGGAGCAGAGCATCTACCTCTTCTTCGAGTGATAGCATCATCTATCTATCTATATCTATATACCCTCAATCTATACACCTGTGAGTTGTGAATACGGGCTTTTATTCCTGTTATGCGTATCGAAAGCAATGATTACACCTTTACGTGATAAATGTGAGGAGCTTAGGCTTTTCCTGTTCCGGTAGGTAATTTGCAGCTAGTGTGCAGTTCCCACCCAACATCAGATTTGGAATGTACTGGGTAATTCTTCCAGCATTCCAGTGAGTTCACACCATGTTGTAGCATGCATGTAAATTTAATTCCTGCGGCAGCTCCTGAAAGTTCCTGCACTGTTCCATTTCATATATAAACAGAAGGTCGACATGCTGATGAAAATCCGCTGCAACGCTGGGGCCTGGCCCACTTGCCTGCCTGAGGACGGCTATATGCTTGTCAGATTTTTTGACCGACCGTTTGGACGCTGTCCTGTCAATGCCCAAACCAAGATCATAGCGGGTTTGTGAGGGTTTTTCCATTTCCAAATCCCATGCATCAGTTTAAACATGTGACTTGTGATTATGACGGCTGACGCTTTTCGTGAAAATTGGTGCCACCGAGCTGGAAAGTGGGATTTAACCAGTGATGTACAGCATTAATAACATAGCACTATGACGCCTTGGAATAGCCATGGGAGTCGTAAACACGCGGTGCGTCGGCCGGCAGGCGACGTGCCGGGCGGTCTTGAGGACGGCTTCTGGCAGCAGGAAGACTCGATGGACGTGTACTTCAACCTCTCCAGCTTCTTGGCTCAGGGGCAAGACACGACCATTGACATTGCTGAGCTCCGGCTGCACAAGCGAGTACCACCGAGGGAGGATACGAAGGTTTGTCTATTTGTGTGAAACAGGAGATTAAGCATAGTGTAGTATCCCTCCTACAGCTGCAGCACTCGTAAAAGCGGACCATGTGCCTCTGCCTGACACTTACTCAACCAGCCCTCCCTGCTCTCCTCGCTGTCCTCGAAAACCAGCCCGCATTGCTCCCGTCGCTGTCCTCGAAAACCAGCCCGCATCGCTCCCGTTGCTGTCCTCGAAAACCAGCCCGCATTGCTCCCGTCGCTGTCCTCGAAAACCAGCCCGCATTGCTCCCGTCGCTGTCCTCAAAAACCAGCCCGCATTGCTCCCGTCGCTGTCCTCGAAAACCAGCCCGCATTGCTCCCGTCGCTGTCCTCGAAAACCAGCCCGCATTGCTCCCGTCGCTGTCCTCGAAAACCAGCCCGCATTGCTCCCGTCGCTGTCTTCAAAAACCAGTCCTCCCTGCCCTCCTCGCGGTCCTCGAAAACCAGCCCAACCTGCTCAGCTACTGCCCTCGGAAACCAGCCTGCCCTGCTCTCCTGGCTGTCCTCGAAAACCAGCCCACCCTGCTCTCCTCACTGTGCTCGAAAACGCCATCAACCAGCTCGCCCTGCTCTCCTGGCTGTCCTCGAAAACCAACCTGCCCTGCTCTCCTCGCTGTCCTCGCAAACCAACCCTACCTGCCCTCCTCCTCGCTGTCCTCGAAAACGCCATCAATCAGAGTATGTAGCACCTCAAGCAAATGAGATTGCATGCGTCTCATCAGTGGCCAGGATAAACTTACGTGATGTGAATTTTTACCCGGCATCACCGTGAAACGATTCGCTGGCGAAGTAATTCGTTGCATAGTACTTAATTTCGTACGGTAGCTAGAGTTACAAATCAGATACCAGTGCACCACCACGATCGGTTTGCGCAGCTTATCATTCGGTGCTTTATCCGATAGTCTTCCTCTGCCACGGATCCCCATAAAATCAAAGTATTTATTGCGCGGTGACGAGCAAAGAAGGACAGTAACTAACTCGCACGGAAGCAATCGCCTATTACCGATGGTTAGTGCTAGCATTTCGATAGCATGGCAGTCTCGTCTATGCGTATTGTGTCACATAAAGATACAATGAGGAGGCTGCGTATTAGTGGGCTACTTAACCACATCTGTTTGTTTGCTTGAGCTCTGTATCCGGTAAAATACGTTGTCGAGGCAGCCTCCCAGGAATTCCTCGATTGCGTCACCTGCTCTCTCGCTCACGTGGTCCCGTCCCCTTTGGCAGATCCGCCGGTACGGGGCGCCTAGCAACCAGCTGGAAGACGCGAACGATGAGAAGATTCGTGTGTCGGTGTACACGCACGGCAGCACCTCCGAAACAGGTCCGCTGCACCTTAGAGAATGGGCTCATACGGGGAAACGGCGCACTGAAAGCGCTTCCGCCGCTCGAAGGGTGGAAGAATGGTGAGGTTTAAATCTCCGGAAAGGGAGGAAGATGGCACTTCTGTTTTCTACGTGCCGTTAGGCGAGACAAAGTGAACGTTGTGTGGGGGAGTGCCAATGCGGGGTGGGTACCACAGTGGGGCGCTTAAGCAGAGTGGTCTGCCCCTTGATCCCTTCCAAAGCGGGGACTGGGAACGCCGTGTCGAGTGCCCTTGGTCACTATCCACCGTGCACCTGTTTTTTTCTGTTTTCGCGGCGTGTCCTTCCCAGCCACCGTTCGGAGCCCTTTGATGCGCGCCCGGCTCGACCCACGCGGCGGGCCGTCAGGAGGGTCGTGCGCCGCTGGCAGCGTACCTGACTGGCCGCCGGTGGCCGGAGGCGGGGGGGGGGGGGGGGGGAAGGGGCGGGAGCACTCCAGCCACGTTCATTCACCGCTGTTCGGCCGCCAGCCGACGGTGATGACGTCAGCGTTTCCGGGTGCGCCGCCCACGGCGATGTATGGGACGGGCACCGGTCCACCGGGAGGCGGCGGTCGCCACCCATCGGTCAGGACCGCTCGCCGCCGACGACCAGCCGCGGGGAATTCTTACGCATCCGGGCTATGGCTCACGCGGTAATCTCGTAAAGGCGGGTGACGCTACCGAATCATTGCACATACAGAGAAAATTTGCTGGCGGCTCAGTGTTGTTGGCACAGGGCGAGAGGGACCGCTCTGCAACAGGAATAACCTTTGCTCCGGCGCCAAGGCTATTAGCCCTTGCTATTTATAAGTAAATGTGATTTGTGAAGTGTTGGATTCAAGAATAGGATTAAAGCTTTCATTATCCACAGCTGAGGCTCTTTTTGCTTTCCGGTTGAAGGCCGCAGGACGATGATCTATTGTTCATACGAAGCGATGTTTGCAACAAAAAAGTATCAACCATCACATTGGGCTCCATCACCGCACGGCACTGTTACGAAGAAGACGCAGGCCAAGCTCGTCAACTTTAACCGAAAATGCATCTTCGCCGATACGACCCAGCCAGTGATGTTTTTTAGCAGCCTTCGTGGAATCTGTGAAAGTGCTGGCGTACCCCGTGCGGTTTCAGCAATACGCACTCTTTTGTGAGGTGTTTCCGTAATATTTTCAAGGCATAGGCATGAGAGCAGTTTGATTTTTCGGGGAGTCGCAGCTTAACGACAATTTCGCCTTCCCTTTCTATACAGGGGACAAACATTTTTAAATTCGTAGAAAAGGAAAAAAGGCATTGGTCATAATTAGGCCGGTCGACGGAAATTAGACCCAACACTTTTTACGGAGGAGAGGATGCTCAAAGTAATAGCAAAAACGGGTGATGTGTGCAACCGGTCTTGCTGTCCCGAACAAAAGCAAGGGCTCGCTCTTCGCGTGGACGATTTTAAAGACCAGCGTCGTATCTCGGTCACCAAAGCAGATCAAGATGTCAAATGGACTGCACGATGCAGACCGATGCACCATCCGCACCATCCACCAATCGCCAAACGATGTCAAACCCGTTTGTCCCATACTAGAGCGAGAAGTCGACTGCGAAGCTGTAAATGCAACTTGCCCGGGATCAGCCTCCAACACACAAGTGTACCGATAGAGACTGGGCGACAACTCCAGATGCGTGTGTTACAAATAAATCTGACTAATATTCATCTAAGGCGTCCGCATTTTTACCGCCGCCACTGATAACGTAATCCATTGCGAGCTTTTCTAGTTGTCCATTAAAATAGCCCTGACAGGCCAAAAACGAGATAATTTCCAAGCAGTGCCGCACGCATGCGGCGCATTCGTAAACCCGCACACTAACGGTAAACATAAGTTCACGACTTCTTTTGTGAAGCGTAATATTTGACCAGCCTTGGTGACCTCAATTACTTCGGTTTGGTACAAGAAGCTTAATAATTTATATATGACGAACATGAAGACGCGAAATGTTTACTGTTTCCATGTACCTTCCCCGCGTGTTTTGCTAACAATTTAAGCTGGTATTAACTTGACAACATGATAGAGAGCATGGTGCTCGTGGCTGTTCATCATGGAAGGTTATCGATATCAGACGGCTCGAGCTTTTTGAACTATGTTGTATGTAGTAACAACGCACACATCTGTCAGCATCACACTCCTCCCAGGCCTCAAAGGCGCATCACCAGATGTGAGCGCTCGCGTCTTTTGTTCTGTCATCGCTGGCTATGATGAGCATGACCGGATAAATACATTACCTGCCCGTAAATGTGTGCACAGTGGTGCCAAATAGGGTATGGGTTAAGTAACTAAATGGATTTATATTGTACCTGATCCATTTAAACCATTGAATGATTCAGATATTTGTGTCAACTGTTGTCCAGTACAGTTGTTGGTTTCTAATTGTTGCACGCTATGCTATGCTCAGGGATATGCCGTCATGATAGAAGACACATTACTCACGCGCCAACATGAACCTTTTGACCTTGTCACGAAACAGAAGCGGTTGTTTTTACGAAACATGACAACTTCATGCGCAAATATGACAAGATGCACATCTGTTTGCATTTGGAATGTGGCTATTTGGATGTTGTGGCTCATGTGATTAAGTTAACCGTAGCGGTGTTGGTGATGAAGTGGTGCAGCCCACCTAAAAGTGGTTTTATAGTGAAATATGTAGCAGTTGTGGCTTGCTCCAAATTCCTTCGGTACTATTTCATTTCTTAGGATTTTCCCTTTACGCTGCCTTAATTCTGCACATTCCTAGCACGCTCATCCACATTCATGTCATTTGAGCTTAAGCTAGGTCAAATGTTGCACTTTGTGACCAAATATAACCTGTTGAAGATCATGCGGTTGCGCCCTAGAGAGTATACCTCATAAAGCCTTGAAGCGTTTTTCTCACACTGTTTTCCCATTGATGTGGCTTGGTTAGTTCTTGAAATACCCGGGCCGATCAGTACAACACAAGCTTTCACCAGTTCAACCTCACGTGATATGCGACAAGTTCCAGCTTCCGAGTTCAACTAGTGTTCATCTGATAGAGTTTTCTAGGAGCTATTCAACTGTGCTTGTTGCATTGACGTGATACACTTAGTGGTAATGAGGTCACAGGAGGGTGCACTATGCGACCGCCATCACCACTACGTGATCGTCATGACCTGTCTTTGTGGTGACCTGCCATATGTACTATTTACCATTGTTCAGTCACATCTACCTGATGTTGTCTGACGAGATCTTTCCAATGTCGTTGTCCATATGGCTCTAACTTGCTTAGTTTTCGAGATCTTAAGGGAGGGGAGAGGGCTCTGAGGACCTTTGCACAGCGAGGAGTCTTAACATGCGCCCGGGTGGCCGATGGATAGTCTTTGCTGGGGTAGGGTTCAATTTGACCGCGCTGAGATCTCAGGAACTAGGAGGGCTACAGACACAAAATCCGCAGGATGTATTGGCCTACATTAAATCACTCAGGTCAATGTCTGAGTCTCCTAGGTCATGGCCATCGGGTCAAATGAAGTCAAACAAGGTCAAACCGCAAGTTGGTCCCCAAAGTGTCCTCAGAACCTTAATACGTGTTCTAATCAAGAGGTCACATGTTTATTCATAGTCATTTACCTCGTTTGACCTTTTGAAGGTTATGTTGACAAAATCATAGAAGACTGCTTTGAGTTTTGCATTTGAATAAGAGCAAAGATTAAGCTAGGCAGTATGTCCCTAAATACGAAATGCTGACCTCGGTGATTTTAGGTCCGTGACCTTTTTTGACCCACAAGAAGCCCATGGAAGATGCCTTGTGCGGTTCCTGTCTTCAATGCATTCGAAATGAGCACCAGAAACTACCTCACACAGCAAACCCTAGAGCAATAAAATAAGTTGGTATTGACCTCCGTCTGACCTTCATATCTGACTCTAGTTCGATGTAATTTGGTCATTTTATTGTTGTGTTGCCTAAGAAACCATCTCAGAGATGTATGGCTGCGTCTTACACTTCGTTGTCCAATGAGATAAAACGATTCCCTTGAAATTAACTTCGCTGAATCCACGGCCTGACTTTGACCCGGCTTAAGTCAGCGACCTTACAAGTTACATCAAATTGTTTGATATCACACGATCCGCTATTCAATTGTCTACAGGTATACGAAATTTGGCGTGGTTATACCGCGCCTTTCGGAGTCCATTTTGGAAAACCCCCGGGGGAGTCAAGTTGACCCCCAACCGAGCGCGTGTTAAAACTGGAGTGTTGCTTCGCAGTGTCATGAACGAAGGCAACGCGTAAAAATTTCCGGTGTCTGGGACTTGTGAAGGCTGAAAAGCTACTTGCTGGAATAGATTTCCCGCTCGTTCTCAGCAAAAATAAATTTAGACTGTCTCCGTGAGCCAACTTGGTTGTTGTGTGAACAATGTGTGGCATGTGTGACACGAGGACTGCCTCGTGCAACAGTCGTAATCTAATGTTGACGTGAACGTTATGACATAAATATATTTGTCGACTCTCCAGAGAAAGTCAGATTAGGTGGACGAGTGTGTGACGCTCAGTGTTTGGATGCGGCTTGGAGTGCGAATCGTTTGATCATGTTATGTAATGTTGTCGAACGCGGCACTGTTTAACCTTGTCCCCATTTCAGCGTATCACGTGCCTCCGGCATCTACTGCGCCGTCGGCCGCCGGAAGGGAATTCAACGACTCCCAACTAGTCGATTCGGTGATGATTACCAAATACGGCAGGCAGTGGGTCACTTTCAACGTGCGTTCGGCGGTGCACGCCTGGACCGGAGGGGACATGATCCTGGGCCTGCGAGTCACGGTCGAAGACGTCAACGGCAGCCTGCTGCCGGCCGAGGACTTTTTCGAAAACATGGACTGCAGTGGGAACAGTAAGTGTTGTTCTTTCATAAAAGAGTCATGCGTGGTTGAACGCCATGCAGTAATTCGATCGGGGCTGAAGCTGGTCGACGAAGCTAAGATGGGCTTTGAGGCAAAGTATTGTGCTGCATTTTCGAGCGATGTAGGTACCGCTAGAAATGAGTGGTTGTATTCTGGGGTGTGATTGCCTCCTGGTCTTGCGTTGCGCATACGAAGTCCCAGAGATGACATGACTCACGGCACGGTGGTTTGGAGCTGCGCGCAGCGCCACGTTTTCCCAAAACTCCTACCTGACACCGTCTTTCGTGTTCGCCAGTTCTCAGCAACACCCCCGTGCCTGGCTACCTGCTGAAGCTGGTCAAGGAATCGTCACAGTTCACCTTCCCCGTGCTGGACCTGCGCACCACTGAGCAGGCCGACATACAGTCGCCGCTGCCATCCTCCCCGTCACCGGCGCCCTGCCCGTACCCGTCCGGGCCGCATGCATTCGACGACAGCTTCCAACAGCCGCGCTATATGGTCGGCGAGCGGCAGCTGGCGACGAGCTCTAATCAGCTGGAGCGCCCGCGCCGCCGGCACGGAAGACACCACCGCCGCCGCCACCACCGCCACTCCGCCCGCCGTCAGCGTGGACACAGAGGGCAGCACTGAGCGGCCGCCAGGTGACATCACCAGCGGCCCGCACAGAGTACAAACTAGCGCGACAGCATGGGAGCGCACCCATCAAGCCAAAGCTATGTATGTGTGCATGTACACGGGTATGGACCGCTTGCGCCGCGGCGGACAAGTGCAGCCGGAACGGGCCACGCGATTGGCTGGGCTCGGCACACATCAGCAGCTGTGCCGCAGCTAGCGAATTGCACACGTATGCGCATAGTTTGTGCGAGCTCTAGTTGGAAGCATCGTAGCGTTGGCTGCCAGGCGCAGCCTCGGCTCATTTAGCTCTGTTACCACTGTCTCGGAGGTTAGAGTTATATTGCTCGCTTTGTAGATCTCACGGTTCCCTGCGGTGCTGTTTTATGTGCAGTAATGTGTGCTTAACTTTCTTTAAGGGGAATTCGTCCAAGTGTCGGACTGAGTTTCATTACTAATCTTCATCATGTAGATGCTATGTATCGTGTCGTGCGGTACCACATGTGGAAATAAAGCACTATTTAGCCCGTTGCAATCAGCAGTGAATGAGGGTGATGAAAAGCACCATGTTATATATGCCAGGCGACGGCAATTTCTCCGATGCTGAGCCGGAAGCAACAAAGGTATACCCGGGAAAGAGGACGTGAAAATGAACAAAATTGTTCTGCGCGCATTAAAACTCGGTCTTTCTCTTTACTTCTTCCTTTGGTTAGTGCATGCCTGGAATGTCAGCCTCATGTTTTTTGTTTTTTTTGTTAGAATCGGATCTTGTCCTGACGGGGAAGGTCGAAGTATGGGCCTCATATGAATAAATTAAAGCTGTTTGTTTAAAGAACGCACAATTTAAATGATCCAAACGTAATCACTACAACCAATTCCCCAGTTATCTCAGAATATTCATAGAACCCATGAGATTAAGGTCGAATTCTACGAACCATAACACGATGAATGGATACAAATCTGTAAAGTGCCTCCAGTGCTTCGGAAAGAATCTCTGTCAGAGCTCCTAAAAGCGACCCATCCTAGGACCGTGGCGAGGAGACCATATCCAGCTCGTATGAAGCTCGCTCGCAGCTCGTATTCACGTCTTTTTCTGAACGGTGGAAATACTCATTCAGAGACCGCCCTATGGAGCACATATCGAGAATATGAATGCATTTAAGTGTAAAGCAGAACCGCCTGGGGCGGGCAGAGGTACCTTCAGCCCAACCTTTGCATTCAAATCGACACACAGGAGCAAAAAACAGCCATCAGAGGGCAGGTTTCTATGCTATGATATCGTAAAAGATGTCCTGAATGTGCACGGACATTCTTGCCTATGCATGCGGCATTTGGCCACTCACTCTCTTGTTTACATTTTTGACGCTTTTAGTCGACTGGGTTGCACGTTTGCCACTCAGGGCTCGTGATAACACACTGAAACCGGGCGTCAGCATGGGCCATTTCAACTTGGTGAGGTCAACCACGAGAAAGAGCCAAAACACGAGCACATGACGATATCTGCTTCCGTGAACACACTCTAGTGGCACATCGCCACCTCTCCGGAAGTTACACTTCTACAAGCACAATCGTTACAATGGCAATTCCAGCACGGTCATTCTAGCAGCATGTTGACGTCAGCAAGATGTTCAATAACGTGATCAAACGATGGCGTATCAAGTCATATATTTACAAAATAGTGAAATTTTGTCTTCCAGAGCAGTCTACACTTCAAAAGGAAATGAGCATTGCTCCATGCCTGGTGTTTGCAAATTGACGTATTGCATCATGCCTGGTGTTTGTCCTCATGGCCTCACATTTGGAACGGTTCGATTAAACGTCGCTGCATTGCACTCAGTGCTTAACTCAACAGCTCGGGCTTACCGTATTTTGCATATTCATCGCTCATGTCTGCAATGCGCTTGAAACGGAAACTTAAGAGAAGCAGGCCAGTGCAAAAGACATTGCTAAACCCCTTCCTTCGGCCATCTGACCGCATTATCACATTTACTTAGGTTTTTGCTTTTTCGATGTCCGCTTTAAGCTGCAATGTCACGGTACTTCGCTTTGTTGCAGCGACCAATCGGCTTACGGTTGCTGGACTACGCAACGAGTCGCGTCGCTAGTCCGCTACGCAACGCGTCGTTAGTCCCATGGCTACCTTGAAATTCGATTGCAATGAAATTTATCCGTTTTTTTGCGTCATATCCCTAAGGAAATTTGTCAGGAGGCTATTGCTCATCAAGAGGCAAAGTCATGGTGGTAAACACCTGAAAAGGGCCTGCAGAAGCAGTTGCAGTAAAGCAAAACACAATATCATAGGATGATGGTGTGCGCTGCAACAGCCCGTTCGGATGATGGTGTGCGCTGTTACAGCCCGTTCGAATGCCAAATGCAGAAGTCTTCTTGTAAACTGGAGTTCATAACACGTGCGCCTGTGAAGTTACCCCACAAAAATCTGCTATTTGGAAAGTCAAAACCGGGTGGCGCTTGGAAAAGGTTCATTTGGTTTTGTTTCGCGCCACGCGACATAGGTAGCGAAAAAAAACAGCCCAGTGTAAAAGACAAAATGGCATGATATAACGTTGTCTTAGGAACCGCTCGTGCTTTCCAAACCCAGACGTCGCATGAGCTGAAACCATGACAACACGCAACCAAACACAGCGTAGCGCCTTGTCGCACTCACCAGTGGCCGCACCGCAATATGCCGTTAATGTTACGACCAGCGGCGGATCGATGTAAGTACAGATCCTGAATAGAGAGCGACAGGGCTGGTGCATAGCAAAATATTTTTGACTCGCGAAGGGCGGATGGATGGATGGCTGGGCATGGGGTGTTTCTACGTGCGACGGCACGCGATTATTGATTACGCCGGTGTTCAACGTGGCTGCACAGCACCGCGCGGGTGGCGCTGTGCCGCGAAAAATTGTCCAACATACATCAGCTGAATTGAATTCCAATGTCATATACATGATGTGCAAACGTAAAATGCATTGCATCCCACCTCCGTTAACACACCACATAAAATTAACGTAATGATAGTATATATTTGCAATCAGTAAGCCATTCAATCCTTGGCTAGGAGACTCCTTTACAGGCTTGTTCCGACTGGTAGCAGGTGAACATATATATCATAGCTTCTCATCGCTGGTGTATTGACAAACGGCAAGAAATTGTTATAACTTTGGGTGTAACAACGCACTATCGGTGTAAGTTTCTTCGACCACAAGACAATTACGACTGTCGCCCAAGTTCTGCACATGATTGCGTGCTTGACAGCAGGCAAACATGGGATTACCCACAGAGACCCTGTGATTGTCTTTCGCTTCCTGAAAAAAGAACGTATGATTGTTGCGAACGATAGCTCCTCACATCACCATGCAGCGCGCGGGAGTCCATCTACGCGATCAGTATACACCCATACTGCGAATCTCTTCCTTCCTCTGATATGCATGACGCTTCTGTGAGGATTGGCCACAAAGCAAGCTTTTGACGTCAGTCGGGGCTAGAACCTGTGGTGGCGGTGACCGCCGGGGACTCATTGTCGGTGTCCGTGCGCCTCGATGGCGTGCAGATACCGTTGGCACGAACACTTTGGTCAATATCGTTAAAAGGTCGGGGCACAGACGATGTCCCGCGGGGTAGGTTATTGACGGTCTGAGGCAGTGCAGTGCCGCACGGTCGTCAACAGCCTTGTGCAGTGCCAAACGCGGGGCACAGTGTGGCAGCAGGTCGGCAGGTTCCGAGCTTACGACAGATTGGAGCTAGTCATCGTCGCACTAAACTTTGCCATGCTATGCTTCCGCTAGCCTGGAACTTCCCGATCGGATGGTGCGGTCACCGCTTAGTGTGGGCTTTCATCCCAGATATCCATCCAGTCAATAAGGTGTGGGTTATACCTTGATAACGCGACGCTATCGATATTTCAGTCCAGTAGTGTCACGGGCATATATGTGCGTAGTGTCCATATTTCTGCGCGACAGCTCGCCGCCAGCCATAGGCACGAACACGGCGAAGGTCATTCGCTTTTTGGGGCCCACCACACTTAAAGCCAGCACAGCTCGCTCACAGCAAAATCAGGAATGATCCTTTTCGTGAACGTATCCGTCTTAATGAGTTCATTACTTTTCACGCGACGAAGACGAACAGCGACCCGCCCAAACCGATGTTTTACAGTTATTCGTTGAATACTGCATGACGTAAATGCTCGATGCTGCTCGATCTCATGTCGCTGTTAGATTTGCCCTGTTTAAATACAATTAGTCTACCCAAAACACCATTTACTCCGTTCAGTTTTTCCTACAAGGCGAAAATTATCTTGGCCGAAGAGGAGTCTTTATAGCAGCAAAACAAGCATAGCAATGGAAGTATCGCAACCTCTGCAAAAGGCAGAGTTTGCAGTACATTCAAAGGGTTTATTAGACTGCACGTGAACTCACTTGTCAAAATTTTGGGTTCCAAGATAGTGATCTTCGTGTTAAAAAGGTCAAACAAGGTTAAACCCTGGGTTGTTGTCCAAAGTGCCCCAGAACCTAGACATCTATTTTAAGTAAAATGTCACTGACGTTCATTTGAGTTTAATGACCTAGCTTGACATTTCAAACCTCATGGTGACCAAAAATCATACGAGACTGCGTTAAGTTGTGCCTTTGAATAAGCGGCAAAATTACGCTAGGCAGCATGTTCTTGAAAACTAAATGTATTGGGTCATTTTAGGTCTAAAATAAATAAAAAACTAAAATGCCCTGGGTCATTTTAGGTCAGTGACCTATTCTGCCCTTAAAGAAATCCATGGAAGATGTGTAATGCGGTTTCTGTTATCAATAGATTCGAAATGAGCACCGGGAACTACCCTAAACATCACGCTGTAGAGTGAGGCAACAGGCTGATTTTAACCTTGGTTTGACCTTCATACCCGGTCCTAGATACATGGAAATTGTTCACTGAGTTGTAGTGCTGTCTAAGAAACTATATCTGAGATGTATGGCTTCTTCAAACAATTCGTTGTTGCATCAAATCGAACGATTCCCTAGAAATTGTCGTCGCTGAATCCACTGCTTGATTTTGACCTGCCATAGGCTAGCCACCTTACAAGATATATCTACTGTTTCGTACCAAACGATCCGCTATGCAATCACCTATAGCTAAGCACAATGTGGCGCGGCTGCGCCGCGCCGTTCGGAAACCATTCCCGAAAAACCTTCGGGGGCTCAACTTGACCCCCACCCGGGCACGTGTTGA